GCTTAAAGATTACTGAGATCCAGGACAATGGCAGAAAATGCCAGAGAGCATCAGTATGCCCAAAATTATATTTTTGATGGTTTTATAAACAATTCTATTTAATTAAAACTCCCTGCTTAGCTCCCAATGTCAGGCTATTTATAGGTTGTGGGCAAAGGAAGCTTTATCGAAGCTGTACTGAAGATTTGCACTTAAACCACAAATAAAACTCTTCTGTTTCACAATCCATTGTTAAGTTTAACTTACATATTATGGTCATGGGTTTTTCAAGGAAACCACAGCTTGCGCATCACATCCTGTATGAAACACATTTTGACTTTTCCCAGGAAGCAGTTAAAAATCACATTTATTAGCCCTGTCAATAGCAGCTGTGAAAATACTATAGCCCAGCTTGTTCATTCTCACAGCTGTAGCTCCTCGAGGAGAACAATGAAAGGTCAAAGGCAGTGGCTGCCCTTTTTCCTGCACTGAGGTCTAAGTTGTTCCTCAAACCTTATCAACTACAGTGGGAGAGCATAGCCTTTAGCAGCACAGAGCAGGTGAAGACATCACTTGCCCACTCTCTCTTCCAGCATAAAGGAAGTTTCTTTAAATGGCCTTAGATTGAGCTGCATTCAAAAAGAGGCAAGAAGAGATTTCAGATTCTTAGAATATTCTGAGTTGGAAGGGACCCACAAACATCAGTGAGTCCAACTCTTAAGTAACTGGCCTGTACTCACAGCCTTGGAGTTATTAGCACCAGGCTCCAGCCAGCTGAGCTGGGAGAAGAGCTGGGGCCTCCCTGACCAAGGATGCCAACGCATCGGTGCTCACTAAATTCAGGAGCAGCACTTGGACTGTACGAGCACTTGGAAATCTCATGAGGCCTAACAGAAAGGTGAAACAGTTTGAACCTCTTGGGGTTGGGGGAAGAGAGCTCCATTCCTGCCCACAGGCTTCAGTGCAGGGAGCACAGAATCATGAACTGGTTTGATTTGGAAGGAACCTGAAAGATCATCTGGTTCCAATCCTCCTGCCATGGCCAGGGACCCTTCCACTAGACCAGGTTGTTCAGATCTCAATCCAACTTGGCCTTGAACACTTCCAGGGATAGGGATGAACTGCAAGGTAGACAGAGACTCCTGCCTTCTCATGCCAAGAAAATTTTGAATGCTCATCTTGTGCTTGACTGGTCCAAAAGCCAATGGAATCAGCTCTCTGACTATCAAGGGGCTCTTCTACTTACACAGCAGCCTGAATTATATAAATATGGGAATATGGGAAAAAAAAAAGGCTTTTGAAGCTTGATTGTCTCACTTCAGCAGATGAGAAACTGCAGACTTGTCTCCTTCCTAAGCTCCACTAAATTAATTATCTTTTGCCCTCAGCTCCAATTCCGATGCAGACAGCATGGACTGGCCCTCTGGCAGAGTGCTTGGGGAGGGTAAGAGCTGGTCGCCTTGAAGTGGCACACTCCAGACAGTGGCCTTGCAGAGCAAACAGACCTTCATTTCACACCAAGAGGACAGCAGAGCAAACTGAAATGCTCTGGGAAGCAATGCAGGCAGCATCATTTTTCTGCCTGTCTATTGTATGCACTAAAGACAAAACAGCTCCCTAAACCTCAGCATGCAAGTGCCAAAAGCAGAAAAAAGAAGAGACAACTATTGCATTGCTATCCATAATAATTTTATGTCTCAGAATCCTCTGTGTATGAATTTTTCATTTTTTTTCCCCAATAAGTACTAGCATGCCAGAAAGTATCATAAAAGAGAGAACATCAGGGATAATACAGGGAGAGGAATGAGTAAGAGCGAGCAGGCCCCACAATCTGGAAAGAGAGCTGGTTCTCAGACATTTGAGGGTGGAAACCACTTTTATTTTAATTTCCTGATTGAAGCCAACAGCCCTAATTCTTCCTTCCTCACTAATTAGATAAGTAACCATGACTAAGTCAATTTGGTTGGAGACTAACTAATGAAAGAGAAAAATTGCAAATTAACATATCCACTTGTAACATTAATTCAGGGAAGAATTAAGGTGGCTTGGGTGCTTATTTTTGCATTTCTACATCTTAGCAACGTCGGGCTTCTCTTTAAAATGTAATTTAAGGGTTTGAATTCAACTTCCTGCATGTGTGTTTTCTTGGGGCTTGAGCATCCCTGTGGTGTGCTTTGTCCATAAGCTCAACCCTAATTCTCTCCATGTTGCTTTCTAGAGCTGTAAGCAAATAGATTAATAATACCTGCTCAGGCCACACACTGTGCTCAACCTTGCCTCCTAACAGAGAACCCCTTACTTTATTGCAAATAAGTGTGATAGGAAATTGATGCATTTTCCCATTTATTTTTGTTTTTAGAGGAACAGGATTCGCAAAGGAAGCAGATGCACAAACATCACAGGAGCTACTGATAAACAGGAGCACGTGGGACATTGGCTGGTAAGATCTGCCACAAAGTCACCACTCACTTGTGTCCTCTGAAATATTAATCAGCTGCTGGCAGTGCCATTGCTGCCTCCACATTGAGCTCATTCCTGCTCTGTTCCTTGAGGAGGTGGCTGTTCCCTGCTGGAGCTGCTCCATGGTGTGGCACCAGGGGTGGGGCTGTGTCTGACGTCAAAGTCAATGCGAATTTATGAAGTTGTTTTTCTTGTGGAATCTTTAAGCTCAAATATAATTAAATAAAAGCCTTTTCTAATACCATTATTCTCCTGATGGGGTGCCTTTCTGGAAGATCAGGGTAAAACCTTGGCTGATAAAGGACTGAAGGTACAACCAGAGTTAAGCATAGGGAAGGTGGTTGCTACAGCCAGCAACTAAACCACTTTGTCCTTCTGGCTGTGCCCAGGCACTGCAGCCCCTGCCCCTCCTGCACTTCCACACTGAGGATTCTTCCACACTTTTCAGACATGGACCAGCTTCACAATGGAGATATGTAGTTAACAGACCTGATTTTGAACCCATTCTGTCTGTTACACAAACAGGCATTAAATCCTCAATTCTGTAGGCACCAGCTCCATGATGCCCTTGCTCTGTCACTCTCTGCTGGCTGTGCTTTCATGATTCAACAGTGCTGAAAGTCTCAGAGTAAAAAGGTAGGAATACACCACAGCTCTGTAGGTTGCTTTTAGCCAGACAGCTGAACTCCTGACACTCTGGCACTATTATTTTTGTTAACAATGTGAAAGATGGTATTGTGAGAGCAGGGTGTGGAGCTGGTCTGCAAAGGACACTGATCACCTGCAGAGGACTTACCTCTGTAATGCAGTGAGTAAAATTTCTGGTACCTGTGCTTCTGTTAAAGGTAGATTAGAAAAAGTCCCCTTGGAGTAGGACTGCCAGCAACTAGCTCACTGGATGTGCAGCCATCTAGTTAGCCAAGCTCCTCTCTGTGGAATTGTATTTCTTCTCTCTTTGTGTTCATTCCCTGCTCCCACACCTGCATCTCAACAGCATGGACATCTCCAATAAACAGGCAGGACACCTTTAGAAGCTTGTTTAGATGACAGAAAGCTCCAGCAATCCAGCCCAGCCATCAGGACATCACCCAGAGCAGGAGAGACCCCAGCAGTAACCTCCTGGGGAACTACCATTCACAACCCCAAGCTGCAGAACATTTGGGGTAGAAGACTCTGCTGTTTGAGTTCTGCTGTTCTTTATAGCACAATTAAGGGTTTGTTACACCAGAAAGAGAGGGAAAATATGCACAAGGTGCTGCAACTTTGGTGCACCATAGATAACTCCAAGATATAATGATACTGTGTAAAATATTTCCAAAAAAGACAAAATATAAATCAAACCTGAGATGCAGAGCTTCTGAGTTTCTGGGCAGTACTCAAACCAACAAAGGTCCCATGTAAGCAGAAGGATTTAGCAGCACCATCACCACCCCTGGTCAGAATTGTAAAAATATTTTTGGGGCTCAGATGTGGGTTTGAGGCACTTTTTAGTGCCTCAAGGTCAGCAGCCCTTTGGTGCATTTGCAAAGAGATTCCTGATCCCCTGAAACTACAGCACTGAGGCTAGCAAGCTTTATAGAACAGAATTAAGACAAAAACCTGAATGTTACCAAGATGCTGCAGCAGCTCCAGGCACAGCTAGAGAAGTTCAGTATAACAGAAACCTTCCACTACCATTGTTTCAGGCACTAAAACTTCAGAACCAGTACAACTGCTTCAGTAAATGCACATTAAAATATTTTTAAGAATAGTGTGCCTTCAAAAAAGTTACAGAAAAGAAATGACAAGGCAATTTACTGCCTAATGAAGTCATTGCTGGAGATACCTTACAGCAGAGAAACCAAATCCTTGTGTTCCTTTGGCGAAATTTGGAAGGGACTGTCTTCTGGTTTCAACTATGAGTAGCCTAAAATTAATTCCATCCTCAGCCTTTGACACTGCCCACAGCAGACTTTTTCAACAGCAAGGTTAAACATGGGGAGACCCTCTGGAAATGTTCAAGGCCAGGTTGGATAGAAGTCTGAGCAACCTTGTCTAGTGGAAGGTGTCCCTGCCCATGACAGAAGGAATGGAACCAGAACTTTTGGATCTGGTTAAGGTCCCTTCCAGCCCACACCCTTCTATAGTTCTCTGATTTAAAATTCTGCAAAGCAGTCATAGTCAAACATAACTTCCCAAAAGTGCACAAGTAGCAATTCAGCAATCAGATAAATAAAAAAAATTAAGAGGTAGAACAAAGAGCACAAGGGAGATCTGTAGCATTATGGGAAGAACTGACCTCCTGGAGGACTTGGGGCTCACATCTCACTGCAGACAGCATTTTGCCTGCTAAAGTCCAGAGCTTGCAGTGCTCAAGGTGATGCTTGCCAGGTTGTGGTGTTTCTTATGGCAAACAACTGGCTTGAAGCACCTGTGTGCTGTGCAAAATACAAACTGATATGATAACTCAGTAAAATTACACCTTGCATCTACTCAGCACTATTAGGAACAAAATCTCAAAAGCTGCTTGTCCAAAGAAGCTGGGACTGGGCTAGCTTACCCAATATTTATCAAAGCAGCAATTCTGTAAATAAGGGGTCATTCCTCGCTGGTAATCCAATAAAGGAATGTGTGCTGCACACCAGAGAGCCCCAAGCTTGGTGCTGTAAGCCCTCCTCATTATGGATCAGGTCCAGCAGTTATATATGAGACTCTCCAGTCTGTTTTCATGGGTTCTTAGCAACTCACTGCTGAGCAGAAAAAAAAAAAAGAAAGCTGAAAAAAAGAAAGATTCTCAAAAGGGTTTGAGAAGCAAAAAAGCCCTGATTGTCTTACTGTGCAATGGAAACCTACTGCAGCTACTGAAGTCTAGAGAAAGTTAATATTAAAATTAGAAATATATTGCAAGCATGTCTAGGAAACTTACCGAGAACTCCCAAAGAACTCTGAAGTGAGAGGAAAAACTGAGATCCATATTTTTACAGTACCCAAGAAAATGAATAGAAATCAGGGATCATCCCCCAACTCATCTCACCACAGCCAGAGTTTTCAACACATCCAACATTACCCTGTGAGTCTCCCATACCTCCAGCTAGTGATGGAAGATGCTGGGAGGACTTAAGAAATTACTCAATCTAACAATTTATCTAATTGTTAAATGCTTTAACAAGGGAGATGGTTTGGTTATAAAAATATTTCTGTCTGAGACTGGGAAGTGTTAAACTCCCCAGTTCTGCACAACTGCACAGGATTTTTTAATTCTTTGCCTTTATTTTTTCCTTCCTTTGAATGGGTTTGTTTGTTTCCCCTTGGAGGCTGCAGTCACACACAATAGGCAGATTTTTCAATTAAGCTATTTTTTTCCACTTTTAGTTTTCAATGGAGCCCAGGTGCCAATTATTTGCTGTTTGGTTTCTGCCTTCCCTTTCCTGCCTACAGCTTAACTTCTTTCTCTCCTTCCTGCTTTTGGGGCTGTCATTGGTCATGCAGATGATGCTGATGCAGATGGCTGTCATGGAGATGGCTGATAAATAATTATCCAACAGCTTGGGAATGATCTGTGTCAGATACCAGTGACATTAAAAAATGCAGTGTATGGACCATCCACCAATGAATTTAGCAACAGTTGGATAGTAACTAATCATCTCTCCTTTGAAGACCTCTTCATAGCATATTTATTTATAAAGTGAAAGCATTTGGTTTTTATTAAAAAAAATACTACAATTCACCAACAGCCAGCTTAAGTGAGCATGTCCTGATTTATTTCAGGAAGACTGACAAAGACATTGTAATGTTTTTTTTTTTTAAATCCCTCACGACCCCATCACATACTGGGGAGGTAGCTCAGCAAGTTTTAGCACACAGCTGCCATCCTGTGCTGGTGGAGAACAACCTCTCCAGCTGTCCTAGCCTCTGGAAAGCACAGAAGAGGGCTTTACACAGAGCAAGGATTAAGCTAGACCCAGATTTGGCTTGGCTCAGTTGCCATGTCACTGTTAGAAGTATTAAACCCTTCCTTCTATCAGGTTGATCGTGGTTGTCGTGCAGCCAGTGCGTTGCTGTCCACGCGCTCCGCTGCAGCCCAGCAGGACACGGTGATCAGGTGCTTGGGGCTCTGCCTCATGGATTAAACATCAAACCAGAGGAGCAGATAAAACCTCAGCCCTGCCACGTGCCTCACTCTGCATCACTGCTATGAGAGGAGGGTGAA